GGTGGTGCTGTTCAACATCACCCTCTGTATGCGCTGAAAGGAAGAAGAGGTGTGTTACCAACACCTGAGGTCCTTTCTCTGTACTCTTTGTAAGGCTTCATCTTACAAGCGGTTATTACCATGAGTAGACCTTGTGACTTAAGCATAAGTATTCCCAGTAAGAGCTGTTATAGTTAGTATTATTTGCACGGTTGGGACTGTAAGACAGTGGAGCATCACAGGTGTTCTATTCATATTCCCTCAATCAGGGAGCAAGGAAGCACAGTTTGTATCTTTTGGATACCCAAGAGTAATAGTGATGAAATGTTGTAACACACAATGCCTGACTGCTCACCTATTGCACATTAATTCAGGTCATTTTCAGGGGTCTCTTACCCTGAAATACAGTTTAGAATTTTTTGGTTTTATTTGAGTGAGCAAGCAAAGAGGAGTATCAAATTCCACCCAATTTATGCTTAAAGTAAATAAGAGGTTGGCTGGATATTTTGGGAATGACTTTCAAAACTACACATAGAATCAAACCAATTCAAAATTTCTAAGGCATTTCACCCAGGGACACAAGTCTGATGCATTACTGCACGCTGCATGCATGCTGCAGGCTCCCCTTCTTGGAAGCATGGCTCCAGCTTGACCAGCTAAGAGGCTGTATTCAGCATCCTGGTAAAACTGTGCTATGAAAGCAAGTTCTACTGGGACTGCAACAAGGTACCAAACTCCCTTCTGATTGTAAGAAAAATTTCTGTGAGGTGGTTATTCAAAGAAGAAACAAATGCCGAATCTGGGCCAAATGTTTAATGCTGGCTATGAAGCCTTTGCACTCTGCTGGTGTGTACTAGCAGATGCACTGTTTAAAGCACTTGAAAATTAATCTGAGTGAAGGGCTATATAGAGGTTCTCTATACATGTGCTATATGTGTAGTACAGTTACCAGGCCAGCTGCGCTTTTCCTCCTTCTAGTTCTCTCTGCCTACACTTCAGCAGTGTGAGGCTTTAGCCCTTCACCTCTTACAGCTCTCAAGAAATTCTACAGTTTGCTGAAACCAGCTGGAAACTGGATTCCAGCTCCTCAGTTTCACCAGTAAGAGATCACTGGTCTAACATGAATTGGGCCTCGCATGGCTTCCCCTTTGACAGCAGCTGGCTAAAATGAGTAAAAAATTACTTTAAAACACAGGGCCTTCTAACTTTGATACTGTGAAGTATCAAATAGGTTGAATAAGGTATAAAATCATCACATCTACAAACTATGGCCCACACATGCACATTTCGTTTCAGTCCTTGGCCTCTCTCTTTCATAGCTCAGACATCTCCAGATTATTGTCAGTCTATGAGATAGGAGGAATAGCCTGCAATGGTCTCAGTGCCCACCTTATGTTTTAGAGTGCCTTCTGCATCTTCCCCGTCCTAAACCATAAGGTCTAGCTCCCTTATGTTTTTTTTTAATTCTTCCCTCCAGGCTTGGCAAAACAACTATGTCACTTTGGGAGGGACTAAAGAGTCTCTTCTTGGGTCTTTAAATCTGGCGATTGTGTTTGAGGGAATGCTCTTTATCTGAGCAACTGCATTAACTTTTCTGCTTGTATTTTAACAACTTTTTGTTGGCTTCCATTGAGTTAGTGCCCAAGCATACAGCAATGCAAAACAGAGCAAAATGAGTCACACACAATGTTCGTAGTTTCCTAGATTGTTGCATTTAGTATTAAGTTATTGGAATAATCACAGATTTAATAATTCCAATGACATTTAGTGCCTGTAGAGACTCTTAGGAAGTCAACTCACTAATAGATATTTCCCACTAAATGAACTTAGTTCACAGCCATAGAGATAAGATGATGTCATATTTTTCTCCTCTTTCCATACATATGATCATCCAGGGTCTGCCATAGTAATGTGCTGCCTGTAGGGCCTCATACTTTCATTTTCTGGTGAGAGGGATAAAAATTTAAATTCATTCTGTTCTTTCATTACAGCATTTCAGCATAATGCAACATTTTCATTACTTTCTTTTGGCTCTGTCCCAGTTCTGTCCACCTGACTCTGAGATACAGGAGCAGTGCATGTGGGGTTTTTTTAAAAAACTGAATTCTAGCATTCCCAGCTAAGATGATCTTGATGGGAGGGACAAATCTGTCATTTTTGCTTGTTAGCATTTTTGGACTGGAGTATAGAACCTGCCACTGTACTGAGTTTTTATAGCCAGCTTGGGAACTATGTCCCATTTGTAAAGGTAAATTATGAGAGATTTATTGAATTGAAGAAGATGCAAGGAAGATTTCCTCAGCCTGGGTGTCATATCCCATACCAGCACTCTCTGGTAAAGGGGAAAAGTTTTGAAAATGTACAGCTCTCTTTTCACCCCAGCACTTAAAATTAACCCAGGATTCTTCAAACTCTTTCCACTGCTCCTATATACAATTTCCAGTGTGGACAAACTAAAACTTGCTATAGGGCCTACTTTACTTCTTAAGTATTTTGCATGTCAATCAGCAGTAGAAATAAAGCTTGTTCGATACCAATCATGTGGATACTGAATGCATTTCCAGGAGGATTTCACACTAACTCTCTCTTCTGTCCCCTACCTCAGGCTCCTAGGCTGGATGAAAACACAGTACACAACAGCTCTTTTTCAAATATTGCTTCCAATAAGGAACTGGGAGTTGGGAGGTGGGGCCAGCTGTGTTTTGTCCTCCGTGCGTGTGATCATTTTTGTAAAAAAATAGGAGGCAATGGGGTTGGGAGGGGAGAATTAAGGGCTGTTGGAAACACCTGATTGCAAAAAGGAAATAGCAGATTGGAACTTTTAATCAAGTATCCTGGAATTCAGGTGAGTGTCAGAGAGGACTTTCCCACCACTATTAACAGTTGGTGGGAACATCTCCTAGTGGGAGTTTAACTCCTAAGTAGGTGCTTAACTGCATCTCTGGGCACCTAAATGCTTTCCACATTTGTCCAAGACAATCTATAGGCTCCTCTTGTAATTTATGGTTTGGAAGAAGCTTTTCCTGATGACGCATACAAGGAAGATTTTAACTAAATGGACTTCCCATGTGCATGACACATCTGTGTTGCACTCAGCTACTTCAGTTATAGGAGAGGCACATACAATAGCCTTTCAAAAGTGGAGCGGATGGTTCTCCCCTTAAAATTGCTTTGCATAAACCTTTATGAGTGCCCCAGTTCTGGATGGTACAAATTCAGGTTTAATCTAGTGCAAAAGAATGCCAGACTGAGCTTCTGGTTTTTGATTGCTGCACCATGATGGGCAGACTGCAGTAGGGTACAAGGAAAAACGTAAGTAAGTGGGGAGTTTCTGCATAGAATGAGTGCCACAGATTTTCATGGTGCAAATTTAGATTTAACCTGGCAAAAAAGCATGCTGAGGCTGGGCTTCTGGGTTTCACCTACTTACTGCGATGGACAAACTGCAATGAGATACAAAGAAAGCCATCAGTGAGTAGTTTCTGCAGAGGATACAAATAGAGAGAACAGGACTGGACATTGTGTTCAGTTGTAGCTTACTCTTTCCTTGGAAGTATTTCCTCTTTTGCAGTTCACATATTTTTTAATAATTCTACTAGTCAAATTTATTTAGTAATATATGTCTGGGAGACCATTCTAGAAAACAGGTTTTTTGGTTTTATTCTTCTATAACAGTAGGAGAGAGTAAACTGAGACAGTTTATGGTCTAAATTTGTTTTATGTTTTCTTACATAGAAGCTGACATTAACTATCTGACCTGTATCAATTGTAAATGTGTGTACACCCACACGTAGACATGTATGTATATACATATGCACATGCACTCTGTTTTCCAAGCATCTACAGGATTTCACCTTTTCATGTTTGTTACCTGAAGGCAAGTAATTGCTTTCATGGCTCTTACTGTAGGTGAAACATTGCTAGGTTTGCTATATTGACATGTTGCATGGTGGTTGTTGAACAGCTAGGTTCTTAGCCAAGTCCTCACCTATAAGATGTTTCAGTCTCCAAGACAACTTTCTATCTAAAAGGAGTAGAAGGCAGTTGCCTCTGGGGCTTACTCATTTACAGTCACATGGAGGGATTTTTTTCCTGCTTGGCAGTCCTCCTCCCAGAAACTTCTGCTGCTGAAATGTTTGTGCATTTGGCCTGTCCGCCCTTTCAGCACATTTAGCATAGCACATTTGTATGTTTTATTGTCTACAGCTGACATTTTTCATAGGTGTCCTTCGCTGGAGGGCATAGGAGCATTACAGTATAGGTGACCTTGTCAGCAAATAGAAGGACAGTTTATTCTCCCTTGCCTGGCCTCTTTTTGAGGGCACCTGGGCTGTCATCTTGATATTAGTAAAGTCATCAACAACAGCAAAACTCATTATCCATAGAGAAGACGTGGCTTGTTTAATGCAACAGCAGGAAATCTTACTGGAGAGCAGAGATGTGAAATCCATCAGTGAGAAGCTGGAAAGAGTTAAGCCAATGTGAGCTTTGATTTCAGTGGGAAGTCATCACATAGGAAACAATTGTGTGCCTGGGTCATGAAGACTTAGGTTTTTTCTTAATATCTGGAAGAATCCCCTACCTGTTTGTGCCTTGTACACACGGTGCTTTTCCATGTTGCTCGTGACAGAGAACATCTCATTCTGTGTCCACCAGCACTGCGCAGAAGAGAATTCTCAGCGCCAACATGAATGTCTTGACAGTCCTTTTTGAATTCAGCAGTTCAGCTTGCACGGGTCAGACGTAGTAGCTTCCATGTGCTTGATGACCAAAAAGAATGTAGCAACTCTCTTAATGAAAAGGGATTATAGTGTCCTCCCTGAACAACAGCATTTCTTTGTTTTGAGGGTGGGACAACTGAAAAATGTGACAGTAGTGAAAGGCAAGAGTCTTGGGCTTTTCCAGTGACAGCCTCCCTCCTCCTCCTCCTCACTTCATGCCTGTGCCTGTGGTGGCTGGTGTTCAGGGTTATTACTCATCCAAGTTTTCTGAGGGCTGTTTTCCTTATTGTGTCCATTCAGGTCTCGGTCAATCAGCGGAGCGTCGTCTGGGCTCTCCACCAGTCCTCTGAGCAGTCCAAGGGTAAGTGGTGCTGCTTCAAGATCTGTTGGTCCAATTCACTCACACATGCTTGATGCTTTTTGACATCTGTTGCTGTAGAGCTGTGGCTCTTAGCTGCGATATTTTGGTTTTCCTTGGCAGCTTGTAAATTTTCATGTGTCATGAGGGAAACGTTATTTAGAAATGCAAGCAGAGAATTTCTCATACATGTTCCCTGCACTGTTAGCAGGGATCTCACTGTGCCCCTGCCCTTTTTCAGTCTCATAAGCATGTAGAATAACGTTGCTATGACTAAACACTGCCATATCGAGCTGAGGTCTGTATACAGCATGGTTTCAGGCCAAATATTGGGAACCATTTCACAGCTACTTTCAATCAGGCCACAGCAGAGCACCAAACCATGCCGGTTACAACCAGCTTGATTTGGTTGGCCTCGGAATAGCTTGTATTAGAAAGTTAGAGAAAATAAATTATACAAATTTGAGGGCTAGCAAATTTAAAAGGAAAGTAAGATGTTGACTAATTAAGATGAGAAAAGAACACTCAAACCCCTACAAATAAGGTACATTCACATGCCCTTATTCAACATATAGTCAACTAAATACTGATACTCAACTAATACTGTTACTCATCTAGTACAAAACATGCTTGATAGTACATCTATTGCAAAGTTATTATGGTTTCGAAGTGCAATGGCAGAGATCTCCCACTCCTCAGTAACTTCTTTAGGGATAAGAGTGAGTATTCCTAGTGTCTGACAAGGTCAGCTTAGTCACTTCAAGACTGCAGCCCTTAAAAAAGTCTAGACCTCATCAAGAAGTCTTTAGGGCTGTGGCAATCCGTGTTACCTAATTGTCTGGCCCAGAGGCTTTGGAGGATTTCTACATACTTTTCAAGACTTCATGAGAAGATGCCATCCCCCATTGGAAATGGATATATTCCATGTGTTAGGGTGTGGATACACCTATGGATCTACTCTCAGGTACATGAAGATAACAGGTATTCCAAGTATTTAAAATTGTAATTCCCCAGTAACATTGTGTGTAATTCTTATGCATGAAGACACAGTTGGGTGTAAGTTTATAGGCTAGTAAAGCTTCCAACTCCTTGCTTGATTGAACTATCTTCTGAAACATATTCTGGGTTCCTACCAATTGTTACCCTGTTTTGCAGCTGGCATAAATGTGTTTGTGGTCTCCTCTGCATCTTTAACGTGCCAGGAACCAGTGAACATCCATTTCCTTGTTTCTGCACTGGGACTCCTGGGTGTCAGTGGAATGAAGCAGAGGTCTGAGAACTCTTATGCCACTGCAAAATGTACTGAAAAAGAGCATGGAAACAGTTTTGTGCACAAAATAAGCATCCGGTGCAGCAAAACTAAATCTTGATCTCATTGCTTGATCTCTTGGCATCAATTTCTGACATCTCAGTAGGACTACATCAAAGAATAAGGATGACAAGATCTGTTCCATAGTTGCTATATCTTACCATTGTACTTAATAGGCAGTTGATTAAATAGTCTTCAAAAGGATTTAGCAACCAGATGGCATTTTCAGCAGATCATAACGATATTAAGGCAGGTCAAATTTGAGGCTTAAAAGGAAATGTTGGAATAAAAATCTTTGGTTTTTTAAACATCCTTACCTATGCTTCTGATAGCACCTTAGATTATTGAAAGAGAACATACTTTAAAAAGCAAATGCACATTTCGCTATATGCACTGCTTAGGTCCAGTCTTATGAGGAATTGAATTCAACAGCAGCTAAGAGTTTTTAAATCTCACAAGGTCTTGCTAATGGTGTTCCCCATTGCACCAGCTGAAATATAGACCTAATCTTGTTCTTTATTTCATTATTATAAATGCGGTAATTAAAGGTGCCCCTTCAGATTCTTAATGGCTTAAGTGGGAGTTGAATTTGACTTTATTTATTTCAGATTTGTTTCTCAAACCCTCATACACGTAAGATATAAAAATTGCAAGGAAGCATTTGTAATCAACACTCTTTGACTTTTACCCATTGGTGTCATTTGCAAATGGTTAATAGGCAGATGCTGATAGTGACTTCCATAAATTAATCACTTTCCTCATCTTTTCCCCTTCCTTTCTCATTGGTGATCAGAATTTACCAACATGGCAGATTTCAGTTTAACTTTACAATCCTAATAACAATACAAATGTTTTGATGTAGTAATTTTTTTTTTATTTTAGTGGCCTAACCCTAAGTTCTTTAAAGTAATTACAAAACTTTGATGCAAACAATTTTAGGAATTAAGTCTTAAATACATTTCTGCATTTTTTAAATGTGGCAACATTGTGCTAATCCATCAAGCCCCAAAAGTAAACTCACTAGTGAGTGTGCTTGCCTGGGACTCAGATTTGAGGCATGATTACGTGTACATGGTGTGTCTGGACAGTACTTGATTACAGCTTTTAGGTGTTAAGAATGGATGATAATAATAACGGTGATAAATAATTTATAGTAGGTAATAATTTATAGAAATCAGAATCTGAGTGCAGACCTGAGCTAAAGATCTTGAGTAGTGATTTCTACTTTTACAATTCTGCTAGTACTTGTAATCTAAGGTGCTAACAGCAATGTTTTGTAAGGACATTCGTTTTGTTTTAAATGTGATTTTTAGCTTGCTAACATCCCTTTAAAAGGCATCTATCCTCCCAAGTCTGTGTATTGCTGTTTGCTGTCGACATATGAATGGTTCCCCAAAATGCCTCTAACATGTATAAATGCTCTTGTTTGGGGGGGAAAAAAATTCATAATCCCATTTTGATAACTCAGTAGTGGATTATGAACTTTGGTTGTCTTTTCTTTTTAATCTGTGTCTTACAAAACAATGACTCACCCCACCCCCTCCATAGAACTGGGACATAATGGCAAATATTGCTGTGACTTTATGACAGAAATTCCGATTATCAAGCCGTTGTTCGCTGCGATGAGGAATGTTGCAAGAGAAGCATAAAGTCTGATGGGAAGTATCATCTCTTCCCAGATAAACAAATTTGCCAGGCCTCTCTGGAGGTTTTGCTGTAGCTGTTTACAAATCAAACACCGACCTGAGTTCATATTTTTCTCGCGGTGGTGTGTACTCTGAAGCCTCGAAGCGAATGCTGAGTTGTTTAACCTTCCAGGCCAGGGGAGGAGAGTGGATGCCCACATGGCATCAGTCTCCCTTTTCCCCCTCTTTCTGCAATGGCTGGCTGCAACCGGGGTGTGCGTTAGCCAGAGTCAGGGGTAAAGAGGAAGAAAAGAGGTTCTGACTGGTGTGTGCAGTAACCTGTGTGTATCGCCTACCACTCCGTATGTATCACACACCTGTTTTGAGTTTCATCTCTCTGCTGGGTTTGCATATGGGCACTTGGAGCTGAAAGAGGTGGTCCCATTCTTGGCACATCTCAATTTGTCTGTGGCTTGAGTGGTTCTTCTTCCCCTTCCTCACCTCCCTACAGCATCGTGCTTCTCTCACTGCAGGGCAATCAGAACAATCCCAGAGAGATGGCATTTCTCTCTTCTTTTTTCTTAGTTACTTTCTTTCATTTTGTTTTTTTTTTACTTTTCCTTTGTTTGACTTTTCTTTCTGTTGTTTTCCTTTGCTGACATGTGGTTGGTTAATATGATGAAGCCTGTTATGACACTGTTGTTCTTGCTGCTGCCGCTGCTGCTGTTGTTGATTATGCTGTGTTCCCAGCTAACTGCATGTCTTTTTTTTGTTTTTTGTTTGTTTGTTCGTTTTTGTTTCTTTGCAAAATCCCTCCCCCCCACTGCCCCTTCACCTCCATCTCTTGTGTCTCCTTGTGACATGGTGCATCTTTGTGACTCGGATGGATTTTATTCTGACTTTCCTTTCTCTGCTCGCCCGCTCTATGCGTATTTCACTGTTTTTGATGTGCATGAACACTCTGCGTCTGTCTCGTAGCCTATCAGAAAGTTCTTCATCCCCCCTCAGACCTCCGACCTCCCTTTCTCTCCCCGACCCCAAGTCTCCTTGGACCCTGATGCTTGTAGGAACGCCTCCAGGCCTGGACATGTACTCCAACCAAAGCCAGCACTTCAGCCCAACCCAAAGACGCAGACTTTGCCATCCAAGAGCAAATTGGCCGAAAAACCACTCCAGTCTACTAAATCCAACCCACTCCCTACCAGCAATACCAACGCCCCCTCTTCCCAGAACACCCCTGTGCAGAATGCTCAGGGCCGCTCGCCTGCTGCCGGCTTTAACCCACAGCTGGCTGTTCCTAAAGTGCAGACCAACCCTATGTCTCCTGTTAGATTGCTCCCTTCTAGTACTGACCCAAGCACCAAATCTATCCCCATCATACAGGTCACCCCTCACCCCTCTCCAAGGGGAAGTCCCCTCCCTACCCCCAAGGGGACACCTGTCCATACGCCAAAGGAGAGCCCAGCAGGCACACCCAACCCAACACCACCATCCAGCCCCAGCATTGGAGGAATGCCATGGAGGACACGGCTCAACTCAATCAAGAATAGTTTCCTGGGGTCTCCTCGCTTCCATCGCCGGAAATTGCAAGGTGAGTACTCACCCAAACATACAGGGTGGTTCTGATTTGGGCAGACATTCAGCAGCAAGTTGATAACTCTCTGTGGCTCTGCAAATTTCATGTACTGAGGACTGAATATCGTTATTGAAAAGGAGAGTGATAGTACCAGCCAGCCCTAACCCAAGGCACATGTGAGCAGGCCCTATCATGCCACTGCACCTGCTCCAACAGCATCTCCTGAGCCCTCTTCACACTCTAGACATACAGGTCTTACTATCCCTGTTGTGGCTCTTAGAACACAAGAAAGTTTTATCTTCAGCTCCCCCACTGATTTTGTCAGCAAACCTAGAACTCTGCCATTTCCCCTGCAGCTGTACTTCGCTGCCTGTCCTTAGCCACAGGCTGAGCCTTCTGCTGAAAAAAGATAGCCCATGGCAGTAGGCTGAAATTGTCCTTCTGAAGTACAGCTTGTGTGATCTTGGTTAATGCTTTTTTTACCTCTGTTGGTAATTGGTGTTAAAATCTCCTTAATACAATCAGTGGTTTCGTATCTGCTGACCTATTTCAGTTTTCAGAGTCTCTAGAGTGTTGAGATGTGCAAAATTTTCTTCTTCGAGCTCCAGGTGGCTTTTTGCATTCAGGCAAAGGGCACCCAAAGTCATATGCATTATCCTCAGATGTCAGCAGCAGCTACCCCAACACCCAGTGGTTTTACAGGGTACTGGGATGTAATCCCATGGGAAAGGAGGAAGAGTTTGAGTTTGAACTGTGATGGTCAGGGACATTGTCTCTGAGATGGTCAGAGAACTGCAGAGAATTGCAGCAGTGCTTGAGCTGAATCCAACTGGGCTTTGAAGCAATCGTAAAGCAATCAAATTGGCATGGTGTTTGGGTCTAAACCAGAAACCACTGAAGCCAGTGCAAGATTATATAATGATTTAAGGAAGGGTAGGGTGAGCCTTGAAATGCAGCACTTGATTAGATACAGTGATCTAGAGACATATGACCAATGTTCAAATGTCAGAAGTAGTCTGCAGAGGCAGTGGGCAAATGCAAGAAGGTATAATGCCAGAGCTGTTTCATTGGTATACAAGCAGAAAACAGAAGTTGTACTGAATCACCAATTTCTTTTCTCCCTCCCTCTCTTTGGCTGTGCGTGCATGGGTAGTACCTACACCAGAGGAGATGTCTAATTTAACCCCGGAATCATCCCCAGAGTAAGTAATTTGCCAGTCCTCTACTTTTTTCCACCACATACCAATGTCATTTCCTTGCCTGAATGTCATAGGCTGACACATTCCTGTTCTGGATCAGTATCTGACTGTAACCTGTTATCCTGTGAGTGGGATAGAGATGTAAAACCATTCTTCTGCTAAGGACCATGGATAAAATCTGTACCTCAGTAATGGCAGTGGGGTCACCAGGTGATGAAACAGTCTCCCAGTGACCACCTCATTTTCTCATGGCTTGCTGAATTTACTGTGTTTGTAACATGTTCCTTCTCTCTTCTTTCATTTGATTGTCAAGCAGATCACTCTTGTGGAGTGGAGAGGATAATCAATGGATTATACTGGCACTAACTATGCACTAAAAAGTCTTCCTCTTAGTACAAGAGAGTTTGCATCCTCAGGATTACATGCAGAAGCGCTGCTAAGATAATTCAGAGGAATCAGTGTCTGCAATAGTAAACGCAGTGTTAATTCTAGGCAGTAGCACTGGGACATGCAGAAGCTGTTTCATATTCACCAGACTCATTCCTAAAAGTCAGCATACATTTCAACCATTTCACTACACAAATGTGCGTCACTGCATGGCAGGTTTGGAAGTCCCTGCCAGAGAGTGCTGCTCCAAACACTTCCTAATATATGCAACAGATGCCAAATTATTCCTTTTTATTTTCACAGCTTGTGTTTGTGCACCCAATGCCCATAGACTTACCCTGCCAACCAAGGCAATTTGGCCTTTTGTCAAGATACTTGTGTGAAATATTCATGAGTCGTAGATGGAAATTTGGGGCCCAAAGTTTTGTAATTGGTGACAATGGTATTGCCTTAACAACTTTCCCCAGACTTGGCATTTATCTGGTATAAGATGGGCACTCTATATCTAATGCTGCAGAATGGAGAGGGATAAAGACTTCAGGAGAGGGAGAAGTAGGGAATAGTAAGGGTTAGTAAAAGAAATCCAGGAAGAAAAGTAGAATAAATTGTGTTTTCAACACTTTTGGAACATTTACTAATAGAGAGGCATGAGAGAATTTCATAAAATGAATGCATCCTAATCAGAGAAATATATGATACTTTTATCTCAAATGTTTTTAAGTACATTAAAGCAGAAAACCTTCAGAATTCAATTTCTTCTCTCCTCTTCTCTTCTCTTCTCTTCATGCATGTGTGTTGGTGGAAGTTTTTCTGTTAATTTATTGCCTTCTCTGCTTCCCACTCACTCTTTAAAAGCTGGTGTAGAGAAGTAGTGCCTGTCATTTGAGGCAGTTTGGATGCAAGTCAAAGCCTAAGGCCCTTTTTTCTTTTTCTGTATAATTGCCAAATTAATGAGTTCAATTGGGCTGCACCCTGCAGTAAACATAATAAAAGTCATAAAAAATAATGAACTGGATTATATTTTAACGATAGATGTCTTGTTGCTCCGTGCCCACTTCCACATGTCTTATTTTTTCTAGTATTTTCTTCCTTTCTGTAAGAAAAAAGATATCCTTATCAAGAGCTGTATTGACCTCATGGGTTGAGCAATAAATACATGTCCTTGCTCTTGTACAGCAATGACTGCCATTCGTATAACAAACCTGATGATTAAGTAATACACTTTGACATGTCTGGGTAATGCTGTTCTTTTTCATATGAAAAGGTCCTAGAAAATGTGTTAGGGTTGACATTTAAAGAGACATAACTCCAGCTGCTTTAAACCTGCAGAGTTCCATTTGCTTGAGTAGAAATGCTGTTATTTATGCCACGCAGGTAAACCTCTGGATCCATGCACTCAGGGACAGATAGGGAAGACAGTGAGGCTCTCCAAAGGGCGATGCAGTCAGACACTCTGAAAGTAGGAAAAGGAACAACATTATAGCAGTGAGAAATTCAGTGTGAAGTAATAAAGCACCAGCCACCATTTTCATGCTAATCTATTTGCTTTTTCATCAACTGGACACCTGATTAGATTCCCTGGAGTAATCTACATACCCAGCCTCCCACACATATCTCCTATCTCCCTCCCCCTTAGGAGGTTTGCCATGACAAGAGAAGATTGTTATTTTTAAGTACATTTTTTACTGCTTACAGCCTGATCTTGTGAGATGCTAGAGTATCTCATTCAGGGTGCTGAGGATCCTTGATTCATACCCATTTTAACCCAAGTTAGTAGCGCTTAACACCCTCTAAGAGGAGGGAAACCTTTATTGTGTCATTTTACTCCAAAGCTGCCCCCTTTTCTTCAGTGGGCCTATTCCCTGGGTGTATGAGCACAGCTAGTGCTGCTGATTTCAGGGAGAAAAGCCAGTACATGGGTGCTTTGTCTTGATTCTGTTCATTCCAGAAGCAGGAGAGGCCACAGGCATCTATTCCATCTTATGTGACACCAGCAAAATTATTTAGTGAATTCCAGTGATTTACGAGCTGGAGCATAGCCCAGGCTATCAGTGAATCTTCCAGAGTCAGTATTATTGGTGATAACCTTGCCGAAGAAAAGAGCCCAGCTGGACTCTGGAGACTCCAGACCAAGTTGCCAAGCTGAACAGGAGAAAACCTCCCTATGTTCTGGGGCCCTTTTAACCTGTGCTTGTTAAGACACCTATAACTGAAGGGCCAACAAAACCGTTAATGAAAATACAACAATGAAAGGTCATATTTTAACATGGCAGACCTGCAGTTAAATATGCACACTTTTTCCAGGCCCAGCTTCCATGTGTGACGTACACTGGGCCCCAGGAGTCCATATAGCCAACCCCGGTTCAGATTATGATACGTGCAAGCCTAAGACAACCAGCCGTTTTAGATGGATAACCAGGTGCTAATTTACTAATGAGCATAAACCCTTTGCATGCGTGGAGCTATTGCCCCAGCTCTCCAGGGGTTTGCGGTGTTGTTATGGTGTGTGTGAGACACATGAGCTAATTAGTATGTAATTTCCTTTCACACTCTAACCCTGGCTCCTTAACGACCCATTTAAATGAGAGGCCCTTTCTCTTTACTGCTCCCTATGCTAATCTCTGGCTCACTGGCTTAGTTACAGCTGCCTATGAATATTTTAGGGAGTGACAGTTTTCCAGCCCACTTTAATTGAGTGGGGGGCACTGGTTTACCAAATTGCAAGTGAATCTTTCTGTACTCTTATTTTTGGTTGCCTGCAGTAAGTAGAATCAAATGATTATTTGCACAGCTGAGTGGTCTTCCAGTGGTGGTCTTTCTACTGTGTGCATTAAATGGGCAGTGAGACGACAGTTGCGTGATTCCTGGAGCACTCTGGAATGGGGAATGAGTGCAAATCGCTGGACGCTGCTGAGGTCAAGCTTTGTTCTTTATCCCGAAGGTTTAGACTTCAAATTAGTGTCCTAGTTTTCTCCTCTCTCTCCTAGTCTCTGCCCTTCCTCATTCTGCCTCAGTCTGAGTCTTTGCCGTGGAAAGTGGATCTACTAATAACTCTCTCCAGCTGTTTATTGCTTTGCTGGAAAGCTGATGTATAGTAATCCTTTTTTGCAGATGGCTCTCCTTGTCTGGAGAGGTTGTCTTCTGCCATTGAGTGGTGAATGTCCACCACTCAAAAAAAGTGAAACCCTATTGCTTGCCATACTGCAAACTGGACTTGTCATGGCATTATAAAGTATCCTATGGAGGAAAAAAAATGCAGTCTCTTGGTGGCAGGTCTTTTCATTTCTGACATTTTCATGCTAAATTCTTCCCTACTAGAATATGGCTGATTTCAGTAGAATTTTCCCTGGGTTTATGTTGGTCCAGCAATTCTTTGGCTGTATGTCATGGCTGACAGCATCTTCTCTCCCCTCAAAACCACACTGGTCACAGGTGCTACCTTCAAGGTCTGGGTAGTGTCCCCCAGTAACATTCATGTCCCTGCATTTCTCCTTTAGCCTGTTTAACTTAAAAGGGACCGTCAACGAAGTGCATTGAGATGGTGAAACTATAAGCAAAATCAAACATTTGCTGATACGATCAGTGTGAAAAAACAGAGCAATTTCATTTTATGATGAAACCACCATCTGATGCTGAAAGGAACTGCGAAATTGGACTGCTGTCAGTGGAAAGCCTGAACTGTGTTTTGCGTGATGTTGATATCTTCTCTCTTAGTACTGAAAAGTCATTCCTTTGTGGGATGGTCAGAGTTCACTCGTTATACAGACACCCTGAATGGGTAATGAGTGGGACAGTCTTTGTCCTGGCTGTCTGTGTAGGAGTGGATTTCACTCACTGACAGATGGGAGGTCCAGTGAAACCTACAGCTTGCTTTAAAAAGCAAGATCTGTGATTGTACTGTCAGCCTAACAGGACACCTTCAGAAAAGGAACTTTCCAAATCCTAGAACACCAAAGGGGTTGAAATTGGGTGAGAAGAAACTTAAATCCCTGTGTTACCAGCATTCGCATATTCTCACAAGAAATGAAGAGATCCCAGGAGACAAACCAGAAACGTGTCCCGTGGCTTATATGCACTTTCTGTATGCAGTATTAATCGGTATATTGGCTCAGTCAAAAGAGTTACCATTGCTCCTGAGTTTTCATTGTTTGTGATGCATGCTGCCAGACTAACACTGTGCGGTCCGTCATTTTAACAGCTTTCACTAAGTGAAATGTTGTTCTGGGTGTTCTCTGACACTGTTTTCCACTTACTATTAGTAATAATATCACATCTGGAGTGCTATCAAAACTTCCTTGTGTGTTTTTTAATATTTTTTCTAGCTGGGGGTTTGTAAGAAGTAGTGCTTACTATTCTAAACTATCTCTTTCTTTTCATCACATCAGGCTTGCCAAAAAATCCTGGTTCGGTAACTTCATCAACTTGGAGAAAGAAGAACAGATTTTTGTGGTCATTAAGGACAAACCACTAAGCTCCATTAAGGCTGATATTGTCCACGCTTTCCTCTCGGTAAGTCACCCCAGCTGCTTCTTGGAGGCATTGCTCACTGCTCAGTTCCAGGACTCCTTGTGCCATACGTTAATGGGCAGGTCTCTGCTCCTTCAAATGCATCCTCTGTGGATTTAATTTACATGGCCTGTTGATTCAGGCCTCCACTGGACTCTGTCTGAATTTCTAACTGTAGATAATGCTCTCTAAGGTGAGAGAAGATTTCAGCCTTCTTGGCAGGGTCTCCAGGTTGCCAGTGCTTGGAATATCACTGCAGTTAGAGCACAATGCTGGTGCGGTATCAAGACAGCAATTTGCTGCTTTGTCAAACTAACCTTACAGTCACCAACTGGGCGTCATATTGGATCTCCCTCTGCTGGGTATGCCATCCACCACTTTAGTCAGACAAAAATCCTGTCTCACATCTGCATTTGTTACTTTAAACCTCTTCTTCAATGCTGTATGGCAGAAAGAAGGGTAATTTCCTCTGGTGACCAGTGTATCAGTTGTTGCAGATGCGTTTTGTTTACAGTCTGGGAAAGCAGAGGGTAGTTGTCATTTTTTTCTATAGAAGGTCCTCATTCTCAGTATCTAGAACTACCAATGAGAAAAAGTCAGCACAGTAAAGTTAATTTGAGAGATTTTTCAATTCAAGGTAGTTGACAACATAATTAGACTTTCTGAATAGAATTAAGAGAAGGAGACTTAATTTCTTATATCGTTTGTCGAAATGATATTGTTTTCCACAGAATACTGCACTCCTTTTTAGTCTCTATGATGCTGCAATGAATTTCCTCAAAAAACCCAGCCATAATCCTTTTAACTGTACAGGCATACAAGGAGCAAGTGCAGTGTAGTAGCATGCATCAGACGCTGGTATCTATCTCACATTGGTTTGAAGCAGCCATGTTACTATATCAGTTTTATGCATTTAGCTGTGCTTCTGGGTTTATATTGTGGTGTAGTGTGCGCTACTGTCGATATTGGTGATGCTGTGCATACCCCACATGTGTGGGTTGAGGTGTGGTGTAGTGATTTGTATGCAAACCCTATGAATCGTCTCTTAGAGCCAACTTCAAACTTAAATGCATTGTCACAGCCTGCTAAGTAAGTCCTTAAGTTCAGCTTCTCAAAGAACTCATCTTCATTTTTCCTCCTAAATTAGAGGTCAGATTTCCAAATGATTTGGGGTTGTTGTTTTTTTTAAAATCTGGTCCTTTATGAAGCAATAAATAGAACGTAAGTATGTTAAATTTTGGCAGGAACTGTGAATGGTAACTGCTTGAAAATTAGGCAGTTATGAAATTCTACCATGGGTCTGAAGATACAGATATTGGATGATACCAGAAAGCTTCTCAGAGTTCTTTTACATATTGATAGGAGTTGTGGTTTGGGTAAGTTATTTGCAGGCATGCTTTCCCTGTAGATATCCCAGGCACTTGTCAAAGTGTCTGCTCTGTGTCCTGATGTCTATTTGATATCATAGAATCGCCAAACAATTGATGTTGGAAAGGACATCAGGAGGTCTCCTGCTCAAAACAGGATCAGCTATGAGATCAGACCAGGCTACTCAGGTGGATTTTTATATCCAGTCTTATATCCCACTGACTTTGCTGCCCCCTCCCTTAATATCAGTTTTCACTCGGCAAAAGGCATTTCTCAAAAGTGGTTGATGAGTAGGAAAAGAAAGACTGAGTATATGAAGTTCTGCAAAGTGTAAATTTATAAGCAGGCTGGGTATTCCACCAATAGTCAACCTTTAAATTTAGGTCAGTCCTGTAAGGAGCGGTGCATTCTGTGGTGCCAAGCAACCTGCACTCTTACTGATTTCACAAGAACACTCTATACATTATAAATTCAAGTCCAGAAGCAAATCCAGCAAATCTTGCCCACTCTGGAAAGATGTATTATTCTAAATCAAATTTTGCAATTTTGTTCCCTTTGTGCTCTGGTTCTACTATCTCCTTCTACCAACCTGTTTCAGATTCCAAGCCTCAGTCACAGTGTCATCTCACAGACAAGTTTCCGTGCAGAATATAAGTCCACAGGAGGTCCTGCTGTCTTCCAGAAGCCAGTGAAGTTCCAGGTGGACATAACATACACAGAAGGGGGAGAGGCGCAGAAGGAGAATGGGATCTATTCTGTCACTTTCACACTCTTATCAGGTAACTGTGGCAAAGCTGTAAAATGGGTGCAAGCTGGCTTTGTCCTTGCTGATATAGAGGCCTGCAAAAAGAGCTCTGCCAAGGGAAGGAATGTAACTGCCTTGACCTCAGGGGAAAATTCAGACAGGGGCAAGGAGAACATCAGGAACAAAATGATGGAAGTGCTGGGAGGGAAAGAGATTCCCAAAGAGGCGAAGTTGCCACCACCATCATTAGTGCTAAAATGGCTGCTCTGTGCATCAGATTTGAAGTATCTCCCTGTACTGTCTCCTTGTTTCACTTAAAGGTCTCAGTGTCTCAACTGGGCACTGTGAGGCCACTGGTTTCTTCCTTCTGGCGGAAACATGCAATCACCCTTTTCTTCTGGGTGGCCACATGCCCCCCACAGGGGTTAAAACAAACAAACAAACAAACGAAACCCCCCACCTTTTCTGTCTTTACAAAAGGAGCCCAGAAGCCATCCTTCCTCCTGTTATCAGCACACCACAGTCCCTGTTGACGTGGGGACTGCATAATGGTTCCTCAAAGCTGTGCCTTCGGCTGAAGGACAGATACACTGTCAGTACACTCTTGGGGACAAGACGGAAGGGAAGATACTTGTGATCCTTCCCCTCCAGCCTGGCTTGTACGAGGATTCGGCTCCCGCTCCTCTCATGGCCATTTGTGCCTCTTCTCTCCTCACAGGTCCAAGCCGTCGTTTTAAGAGGGTAGTAGAAACCATTCAGGCACAGTTGTTAAGCACACATGACCAGCCTTCAGTGCAGCAGTTATCAGGTAAGTAGTTTCTACTGTTGAGCACCTTGCTTCAGCAGGGACAGGAAGGTGAAGTGCCTCGCAGTACCAGGAGGCTGAGGGAGGCCATCCCTCTGATTACAGCAAGAAATGAGCTCCATTCAGACAGAGCAGTAACTCCCTCCCCACACCCTACTCTTCCCTCTCTCATTCCCACTCCAGTGCTCCCAGCGCATTCCCCAGTTAAACAGCTTCTGCCCTCCTCCCGCCCAAAGAGCCATTTGCCCACTTCTCCATCAAAAGCTGCATCATCAATAGATCTTCCAGAGTTTCTCCGGCTCCAAAATCTCCCAGAATAGGGACATGCTCTAGAAGGTACCTGATTTTCAAACCCTTCAGGCACGCTTTCGAAACTTCCAGCTTCAGAGGGTCCCAGAACAAAGTTGAGAGCTACTTTTAACTTAGCCATTAACAGCAGCATTTTCAGATGGTCAGAAGGTGGCTAATAGTTTCCAGCAGTGTGATCAAATTCTTGGCCCAATGCTGTGGTAGCACAGATCATATACTAAGGTTCTGCAGAAGCTATATTTTATCTATTTTTAAAGTAAATTTCAATTCCTCATGGTGGTAAAGAAAGCCTTACATGTGTGACCCTGTGCAATGACATCAGTCTGAATCTGCAGGCAGCCTGAATTGATAATGCAGAAATTGGCCTCATCCCACCATTATGTAGCAAATGTTCACTCTGAACACTAGTGGTGACACACACACACAAAAAATAACAGTGTTAACTCCTCTATCCTTTAAAAGGACAGAACAAAGAAGGTGAAAATTGAAAACTTAAGGAAGCTTAGCTATTGGGAGTGCTTCAAGGAAGGAGGTATGGGGACAAGCAGAAAGAATATACAGATACAGGGAAAAAATAAGAGCAAGGCAGAGCAGAGGCTCCAGGAAGAAGGCAAAGAGGCAGGAGGATTAGGAAGAATTTTCCCATTGTATGATGATGAAAAGGTAGTAACTAAATATTATACGTAAGAGCCAAGTTCTGTGCTTGACCTTTATGTGAACAAGCTAAGACAAAAGCGGGGGAATGAAGTTGGCATTGTGTCTTGCAGTTAAATGCCAGATGTCCTTGGCTCATTGCACGTATGGGTTACATCCTTCTGGTCTAACAGTGTGGCTTTAACAGCTGAAGATAAAATAACTCCATCTAGAAGAGTGTATGCTTACTACATGACAGAGAAGTATGCTCAGTTCAGGAAATACTATTTTCCATCTTGCTTTTGCCCCCCAGCACTGCCTGACCTTCTGCACACTGGATTGCAAGGGTGCCCAGCACATGGGTTATTCTGTTAGGAAACAGGAAAGGTGAGGATACTAGAACTATGGTTGATTCAGGTTTTTGCTGTCTGGACTTTTGAAATTAAATTGAACTCAAGGAAGCAGGCAGAATTTTCTGCCAACCCTTCTTCTTGGGAAGTGTTGGGGCCAAGTGGGAATGAGGGGAATTAGATAGAAAAGCATCCTTTAAGTCTAGTTCGTGTTACCCCTGCTGCATGAACAATGTTCAAGCATTCCTTGTTTCTTAGGAAAAGAAGCGCACCCTTACTTTCTGGTGAGAAAAAAACTGTTAAAAAAGTAAATAACATGGTGATCTCTCTTAACTTCTTCACTCTAGTATGTGCTAGCTACTGATGCTCTCTAGAAGGACTTGGACCCTGTTGCACACTTGTATATGAAGCAGGATATCTCCCTAAGAAAGTCATATTATAGCAGGAATAAAAACCATTCATCTGACTAAGGCTCAGGGAGATGTTTAGAGCAAACTGTGCTGTGAGAAATGTATCTGACTTAGAGTTTTGCTCTGGTTCTGGAATGGAAAAATCCAGAATCTCTACTGCCTAAAGCTACATGAGAGCATGTCGCTCTAGCAGGGAAAACCCAGCCTGATCTTTAACGCCAGAGTGGAACAGATAACTCCACATGGAGAAAAACCAAATGAATGGTCTCTTGAAACTTAAGAATGAGAATTCCCTTGGCCAGGGAGTTATCCAGGCAAGACAGCTCATGAGAGACAGGGTGCTAAATTATCCTGTATCTTATCACCTGACCTGATCAGGAATATGCCAGTCTTTTGAAAAAGGGAGAAGTAATTCAACCTGAAAAATTTAGGTTGGAGCAGAGTACAAGGAAAAGAGAAAAGGAAGGGGGGAAAAAAAGGATTCTTACCAAGAAGAGACAATCTGTGCATCCAATTAGGGAGGCCCTGTGGTTCACATCCCCAGCCAGTGAGGGCGTAAGGGGAAATAAAGGGACAGCAAGAGTTCACATTCAGCACCTTGTTTAGCTGGGTGGCTGTGGTTGGGAAGATGTGTGCAAGAGCTTCCTAGAAATTGCCATGAAATTACTCAGCATTTCTCACTGGAAACAAGGCAAAGTCTTTTCTGTTTCTCTTCTTCTCCCATATTCACAGCCCTGAACACCTCACAGGAATTGTGGTGGCTGGACTCCTATTCAGGTTCATGGTTTGAGGATACTCTGTAGGCAATCCACTGCTGCAACAGAACATGCTCACAGTTCACTTTGACTCTCCTTCTCCATGGCTCTGAGGATACTGCTGGCTCCGACCAGCAATACTGGTCCAGCACTGGAGATTTTCCTAGCTCCTTGTGCACAGACATATGCCCTGTGCGGTTGTCTCCCCTGCCTTTTAGTTCAGATGCCTTTACAGGTGGGAGGATGAAAACCATCTGTGAAAGGTGCATGCATGTAAAGTGAGACCTGCAGAAGGGGAAGATTCAATGAACACAGCATAAAGCAGAACAGCAAGGCCTAATAAGCATATGGCACTGATAGTCATTCTCTCTCCTGCCCCTCTTTGATCCGTTATGCATGCCAGCCCACTAAGCCGGCTTGCCTGGGTTTCTGAACGCACTTTCCTCTTTCTCATTTCCTCCAGCTCACAACAGTGTTTGTAGATGTCGTGTTGCCCATGCATCTGTGTGTGTGTGTATGTGAGCCTGATATGTACCTGATTTAGGTAGATGTGTTTCTGTGTCACACTTGAGCACCTTATAATCTCCCTTCCCCCTGGATATCCCTCCATTCACTTCCATTTTTCCTTCCTAAGACTGGCTGTGCTTATTTCTTCTGGCATACTCTGAAGCAGGAAAATAGCTTCCCTCCCTTACCTGAATAGGTGTGTAAATAAATGAAGTCTATCCCAAAAGCTAATGTAATACTTCTAAAATCCACTGTCCAGTTGGCCAAATTTAGTGCAACATATCAGCCTTCTCCCTTAATGTTTCAAGACTTTAAATCCTCTGTGGTATAACTGCTGAGACAATACCAGGTCTACAGACTCATGACTGGCATAGAACAAGCAGATAGGAATTATTATTCATTTTTCCTTCCCAATGAAAGAATTAGAGGCCATCACGTGAAAGTAATGGGAGCCATGTATCAAAAAAATATTGGAAGGTGTGTCTTCCTGTAATGTAAGACCTGCGGAACTCCTCACTGAAGCAGGTTCTGAATGAGAGGGGCTTGCAGATGCTTATCTTCCCCTGAGTACTTCTTACTCACAGGGAGACTGGACAATTCCCTGGGAGAGAAATCTTCCTAAGGATCACTAAACAGAGAAACTGCAGCAGGCTCAGTAAATCTCTGACCTGAAAGTGGTGAGAGAGTGAGGTAGTGTTAGGAGGAAGTGTTCTGTGTGCTTGGCCCGCAGTTACACTCCTACATGTCTATGTGTGGCTGCTGATGGAGACAGAGCACTGGATGGTTTTGGCCTTTGATCTGACTCAGAATAGCTGTCCATGTGTTCTTGTTACTGGTATCACAAAATGCATTTAAGCCCAGCGAGGCCATGAAAGGACAGTCCCTTTTGGATCAAGAGTGAGTATCGCTGTCTATGAGAGCAGATGGCCTTGTCTCTCATCCATGTATGGCTCCATCCAGGAGCCTTATACTCAGAATCTCTACTTCGGTAGTCCCTGGGCAGGACTGCCCTTTTGTGGGATAAAAGGATCTCTCTCCATGGAGGAAAATATCTCAGATTTGTGCCTTTGTTTCAGCCCAATACTCTTTCCATTAAATCATAATCTGTTTTCCTCCAATGCCTTTGCACAAAAGAGTAATAGAAGCAGCTGGTGAATAGGGACATGCAAAAGCCATCTGTGATCATTCGCAGGGTATCAATTTTTATTTCCCTAATATTTTCTTGCCTCTTTGGGCTTTGGTTTTAAGTGTGGGGTGCTGCATATTCTTATTTTTTCCCGTTTTCCAATGTTATGGGCAATCAGCAATACCAAAATAGCCTTTATAACTTCTTTGTATAGGTTTTCTGTTTCTTTATTATATTTATTGGCTTCATGTCAGATTTTAACCATTGGCATCTCAAATTTCAGAGCATCTCAGTGTTACTGCTGGAAATACCTTTCATCAGCATAAACAAGTGTTTAGGGACCATATCCAGCTTCAAAATAGAGCAGTGCAAATTCTCGCTCATTGTGTGTATCTTCCATATCTGCACCCAAGCTCTCTTATTGTGCTGGTGTACATCTCAAAAAGCAAAACATGTTCATGTGACTCAAAAAACTTTGCTAGAGTATTGATCTGTGAATTCTGGGTGTTCGACTTTATGGCTCACGAGAGCTATAGGTTGGCTAATTTGCTAAAACAAATCAGTTAGAAATTTACAGTTACCAAATATGCGAAGGATTTTATCATCAAGACAGAAAAGGGGGTAAGGCGCAAATGAAGTGCTTTGCAAGGTAAACTTCCAGCTGCAGACTCAAACCAGGGCTATGCAAATGCCAGTTTGGAATTGGACCACACATCAGTTTTATCCAGGGCTCATCCAGGTCCCAGGTTTACCTTGTTTCCTGCATTCTTGTGTGTTCCTTTATGTCTTACCACTCTTGTAGTGTCTGGGGCAATCACTTCATCTTGCTCTCATGGTTCCCACTTACAGTGTAATGCCTGGTTGGATTGGCAGAGCACTGTTTTTTTGCTAAACAGCTTTAGTATTATTAACTGAACAGACTTCATTAAAATTAACTTGAGTAGTCCTGAAATAAAGCAGGTAGAAAAAAGTCCAAGCTCTCCTGAGTTTTGATAGGAGAACAGTGAATTTCAAATAAGCACCCAAACACTGGGGATTTCCAGTCTAAATGATAACTGCCTTGGACCAGAGGAACTGGTGGCTCCCTTGACATCATCTCCCTTAATGGAAATGTTTATTGGGGACGATAAGCATCTGGCAGGAGATGCTCAGTGCTTTCTGGGATCTAGCCCTGGATTTGGAGATCTCAGAGGAGCAGCTGTTTGGGTGAGATTTCCTGGGCTGGGACAAATCTCAGTCTCAGAGATATCAGAAGCATCACAAACCAGGCAGCTTGGTTTTGAAATTTATGTAGGATACAAACACAGAAATTAAAGAAAAAAGAAAATCAGGAAAGAAAACTCAGCAGAACACTAGCATTTTTTTAATAGATTCAGAGCTTGTTTGGCCTTTTGAAGGAAGGTCTTATTTTAACCAAAGCATTTGCCATCTATTAATGAACTGAACTGGGTGTCATGTATGAAAGAGTCTTGGTCAAATCCAAGTGTGAGTGACTGCTAGCAATCTCTGTGAAATAAGGAATTGCCTTATCATCAGAAGGATTGAGATCTGATGCTGCCACTATGCTTTAATTAAAAAATTAAACAGCACACATTAAAAATGCAGTTACATGACCCATCAGTGCTTCTCAGACAGCTAAAGGCCTTTAGACCCTGGCATTACTCACCTCACATAACACCTAGATCCAACAGTCACTCGGTTATGGATTATTATCCATGAGCAGAAGCTGACTGCCAAGAATCTAAGGCTTTCTAATTAGAATGAAAATTCTACTTTAAAATGATGAAATATTTTATCATATAGAGTATTTCCTAAAGCAGATGTTACAATATGATGGAAATGAAAGAAGTATTAAAGTAATTATAACAGAGAAGCTGAAAGCATATTAACTCTGTTAGTCTTTCAAGCAATGCAGTATGAGCTACTGTTTCTGGTGTGCTCATGTTTGCTATGCCTTTGGAATGGGGGAAAAACAACCTGATCGTGTCTTGGAAAGACATTAAAAATAAATTCATGTGCAGTTCCTGGGACTGGCCATGGCAATATAGAGAATGCAAATTATAGATGTCTGTAAAAGTTCTGAGAAAGACAAATTAGATGTTTTATTAGTGTTCCTTTGGTATTTTTCCATGGTCTTCTATTTCAAAAAAGGGTTTGTGGTTTTCCCTATCCATCAAAACCATTTCTATAACCTGCAAATTTAGGTTTTTAGGAACAAAATGGGGCACAGAGCCCAAGATGTTATGCTGTCAAAAAGCCTGTGTTACAATCCTTTTTTCCTGTTGTCAGTTTGTATTCTAATCACATGATTAATGTATATAGACCTGTTACACAATTAGCTTTAAATGAAATACTAAAAAGAGCCATGCTGACTGCAAGTGACTTACTTACAAAAAAGACAGTATTCCAAAGTACTAACTTAAGGAGACATGATTATTTTTAATTTGTTAAAGATAACAAGGAAACAAATACCAATTTTAGGAGAATCTTAGTAAACCAGCCACAATGTTTACCTACTCTGACATTATCCAAATACTACCTTTTTTGTTTCCAGACTGCTAGTTACTGTGTGGCCAGTCAGTCTGGATACACTTGAGGGGAAAACTCCAGGTGTTGGACGTGGGAGTCAGAAACAGTCTTTCAGTCATATTGGAGACTTTCCTTGCTATTATGTGCTTTTTCAAAGCTTAAGTTCTGCTAATGAATGCGTGAATGCTCTGAGCTCTACCAGTATAGGTCCGTATTACACTGCTTTACAACAAGGTGTAGTTGACTCAGAAAGGGCTGGACAGAAACCACTAAAAGGCATGAGACAACAAACTTCTCCAAGTTATTAAACAAAAAAAAAGGATACAAACTCATGACTGTGACTTCTGTTCATTGGCTTAATCAGCAGCTGTAGGCACTTCTTAAACCTGTTAGGCATCTTCAGGGAGAAATGTATTTTGGGAGCTTAATCTGCCTTCACTCAGACTGGCTAAAGAATTTCAAAACTACTGGCCTCTCTGACACCTCTGATACCTTGTTCCAGTTCCTGAATCCGCTATTCTCCTTCAACTCCTCCCTTTTTCCCCTTTCTCTCAATCTTGTGCCTTTCTGAGAGACCTTCCATGGGTATCATCTCCCACTGACCTCTGCCAGCCCACCTCTAACCTTGGGGATAGAGAGCATATAACTGCTGCTTAGATCCTTTGGCCAGTGCTATTGAACCAAGCACCTGCCCTCTCTCCTCCATGCTTTCCCAGATGATCTGTGCAGCACAGGCCTGGCTGCATCAGAAAACATACATATACATGCTCTTCTAGCATGGGTTCAGCTTACCCAAGCATATCCAGCACCCCATCCCCCTTTTTTGAAATTACTTTTCTCGGTATTTAAGGGGAGGAATGCCAAGAAATTATCCTTCCCTCTATCCTGCAGACTTTTCAGCAGACAGGGATTAGTTAGAGCTTCCTAGCAGTTAGGGATTTCAGCATATGTGTGCATGTTTCCAAGAAACCTATTTCTTGAATACCCAAGTGTTCATTGAGAGGCCAGGCAAGAGGAGGTCTGAGACTGAACTGAGTGCTTTAACTGTTAGCCACTTGCTCAGCAGTGAGTACTCCACATTGCCCAGCATTCACGGACACAGTGATTTAGATCCCAAATGCAAGGGAATCCTGGCTGACAGCAGCAGATCTGGCTTGCCAGAAGGGTCCACATGGAAGTGTCCAGCTGGGCTGGTCCTTTCTCCTTTGAAGCTGACATGTAGAGCTCCTTCTGCTTATTGCACCTGAGTAAGAAGCACTCAGAGGCTGTGGCAATGGGAGCTATACACAAAGTGGACAGTTATGTCTTAGGGCCAGATTCTGCCACCCTTCCCAGAAGTAATTCTATTGCCTGCAAATAGTGACTTTGAAATCAAGAGGAGTAAGAGACTACACGTGAATGAGAGAGGCAGAGTTATGCTGAGAACTTGGACATTATCCTTTGGAGTCTAAAAGATGTTTTTGAGCTGTCTAAGTAGCCTTCTCATTCCATGTCCAGTAGCACAGTGCTGCATTTCCTCCCTCTCGACAGGTTTTTGATGTACATAGATCAGCTGGCTGGACATTTCCTGGCTGTTGCAGGCTAATTTGCAAAGCTGGCCAGGTGAAACAATGTATTCAAGGCTTTTAGTTTGCTAATGTGGTGGCAGGGTATTATTTCCCACATTTCATAAATACCTATAGCTATAACAAAGAGGTGAGTTGAAGCAGCAGGACTGAAGCAGCATCCACGCTCAGTCACAGGGCCAAGTTTGCACTGGCATACAGTGGGTGGCAGAATTTTGCCTGGGTTGTGTAAAGACCAAGATGTGTATATGTTTCCTGCTTCAGGTAATAATGTGCTAAGTTACTACTTTATGCACAGAGGTATGGAAACCTTTTTTTATGTTTTTCCCTCCCTCCCTCCTCTTTCCGTTCTATGATCCAGACACCACTAACTGTATGGAGTTGATGACTGGCAGACTTTCCAAATGTGGTAAGAACTTCCTTCCCTTCTGCCTTTTCTCCTTCCCCAGCCCCTGCTGAGCAACACAATAATGCGCCGTCCTGTCCCCTCCACCTGTTCCCCTTCCCCATCCCTGCTCTCCCATGCTCTTTTCAAGACTACCCATCCCGTAACAACCCAGTATGTCTTTCACTTACCTGGTGGACACAAGCATATACCCCTTATTCTGTTCCTCCCCATCCATGCACAGATGCACAGGCTCCACCACAGCATTCCCCTTCATAGCACAAGTGTGTGGTGTTGCACTTGAGATTCCCTCCCTCACTGTAACCCAGGCCAGTGCTTTTCTTTTTCTTTCCTGTTTTTTTTTTCTCTTTTGTTTACTTACTGCCTTTGATTCATGATTCTTCAGTCCCTTTTATGCAGTGAAGCTGAAAGCTGCCCTGCTAGCTGCTGTCTCCCTTGGTTTCCTGCTATTTATTGAGACAGGATTGCTATGTTATTTAATTCCATTTTGCATCCACTCTCTTCTTCCCCAGAATTCCTTGGGATAAGACCCTTTTAAATCTTCCATAAGACACATTGCATATTATCTGTCAGATACTTAGCAAGTGTAAATTGTCACAGTTCCAGTCTGGTCTTGGGGAAGGATGTTGTGTCTCTAGCTGGAGGAGTAGTGAACCTACTGGATATTCAGAATTTTGCTAGGAATGAGAAAAAAAAAAGAGTTTCCTGCAAAACTTGCAGCTCAACTTGCTTGGGATTCCATGAATTTTGGTTAACTTGTCCCTTGCATTCCCTCCCCTCTATCCACACATGGACTGTATTCTTTCTTTCATTACCTGTGGCCCTACTGACTCCTCCAAATACAATAGTGGAAATACCCAGATACTAGGAGAGGTTTTTGTCTTATTACTTATATCTTGTACAGAAAGGTTTGGTACAAGAGAACTCTGTTGTCTGTAGATTTCCATTCTGGTATCTAGGTTGAATTTAAGTATCCCTATGAAAGGGAAGTGATCACTGAGCTAGTACCACTCTCCAGCTGGGCCTGTGACTCCTGCATCATCTCTTCGTAAACTGAGGAAAGTTGTTCTGGAGTTGTTGTGGAGTCTGTAACAACAAAGGAAGGTTGTCCTGGTGGAGATAATTAGTTTTATGCATGTGTGACTGAGGCAGAATTTGGCCTGCTTCCTGTATTTCAGATGATCTCTTTCCCTTAAGTTGGAGCTTTGCTGGTGGGAGTTTTTCCTTTGCTCTGAAAGGAGCTTATTTGATTTCTTATTTGAGTTTTCTGGGTTATACCAGTTCTGATCTCCTCATGAAGACTCATTCAAGTTGTAGGCATACCTCCAGCTTCTTCTTGAAGGCATCAGACAGAAAATCCCTCTTCTCCCTCAAGCCTTTGTTTTTTGCCTGGATCTGGCATTCACATCATATGAAAATACTGAAATGCTGATGCTACTGATTGCTTGCAAGTCGAGCTATACAGATAACCAGCCAGTACTCTGCGTTCTCTAGATAGAGAGCATTCCTGCTCACTCCCAGTTCAGGCAGGCCCTCCAGCTGTCACAGTGTCAGCATCAATCCAACCAGGGACAAAGAGGACACAGTGAAGGCCAGCAAGGAGACTATTTTGTGGCAGCTACAGCACAGACAGAACACATATATATCCAGAGAAGAGAATGAATGGGTTATCAGGGTTTAATGGAGCTGCTTCCTTTAAATCATATTCCTGTTGGTGTGCTCACACACAACATAAGCAGTGGTGACTGCACCATGCTGAATTCCACCCTCTTATATGAGTGAATAGCTATTTTGTGTGCAGGAGAGCTCACCCACAATTTAGAGAGGGGAGTGAAAGGGAATGATGCCAGAATTTAGCCAGCGTTTAGCCTATTATTGGCAAACTGTCCTCTATGACTCTGAGGACAGGGAATCCCCTGTGAAGTTGATACAATGTTCATCTAGTAAGAAAAACTATACTATGTCGGGTTTTTTACTTCATCATTGTTCTGTATTCTGAGAGGGAGCACAGGGGGTCATTCTTGCAAAAGAGTTAACACTGGAGCAGGAAGAGCTAATCAGATGCTTTATGCCTGGCTCAGCCATGTGAAAGCTCTGGTGGGAATGAGGAATATCTTTTCACCCACTATAAACCATTGAGTGTTGTAATTAACACCAAGGCAAATTTGTTTAGTCCTTTAAATGTTATCTCATCTTCTGCTTGCAGTGATTGTCAGTCTGAGAAGTGATTTTGCATATAGCCATTGGCATTGAAAAACAAGTTAATGTTGAACAGCAGAGGTATGTCATAGGAGCTACCAATAGCCAAATGATGTAACAGCTGCTCTATCAACCCTACCTGTGCACACTAGAAAACTGCTGCCAACTCTTAGTATTTCACAATTGAAGAAAATAATTTGGCTTATAATAAAGTTGAAATGCACATTGGGGTGGAATATTTTATTTCATGTTTCCACCCATTCCAGCAGGGCAATGGGCATTTCTGTTGTCAGAAAGACTAAACTGGTTTCCATGAAGTCTTTCATATCTGTTCATAAGATTCAAATTTACCTTGTAAAAATTAAAACCTTTACATTTAAAATGCAGCTGTAACCTGAAAACTGCCTATAGGAGTGATACCTTCTGACTTAGCTGATCTATTCCTTGTGTGTATTCAGAGCCAAATCAGTTTAGTGACAAATAAGCTTTGCCACTTTATGTGCTGCTGTTAAGCCTTATAAAATCAACACAGCTATAAAAGAACAAGCTGGATTCTGTTTCTTTTGAGGCAGGATTGAGAGAACTGTTTACTACCATCTAATCTGGTATTTACGTCTATCTTACTGAAGAATAGGTTGTCTAATTCACAATGAGGTTCTAATAGGTTCTGCAGAGCCTTTACATTAAAAAAAAAAATAATCAAGATAATATAGAAACTGGAAAGCCCTCCAGCTTCAACCACAAAGCTGGAAATTAGAAAGCAAGTATCATTGTAGATTAGGCCCATTGGGTCTGGACCCATTGATATAGGCCATACAGAAGCCCACAGTGCCATTTCAGTAGTCCTTGTTCAGAAAAGAGTCTGTCTTTACAAACTTTAATGACTTTAAGTCTTTTAATAGAGAGCTGAGAATTTCTTTGGGTGGTTGACTCAGTAGTAAAGCTGGTGTATAGCCTTGGATAGCTCCCCTTTCTTCCCAGCCATCCCAAGTTTTTTGTAGTCCGTAGTATGTTTCTCCAAGGTGCTGGCTGCTGGCAGAAAGCTCTGAAAAGCCTGCCTATTCTTGACCTTACCTTCTGAGAAACACCAGGGAGCCTGTAACCTTTCCAGTCTCTACACTGTAGCTGTCTGGGGCTGAATTTTATTTCCACAGTGATCTTTGCTTGTTGTTTTCCATCCCTCGTGACTCTCAGGAAAGTCTTCGATTACATCAGTGGCAGTTCCATGGAACTGGGTGATGATAAGAGAAGGAAAAGATTAGTATGTATAACTAGTGCAGCTCCAGTCAAATCACGCTAGCATTCTGCACAAACATACGTTCCTGCAAAGTCTTAGGCCATAACCCTGTGACAACAGGCTGGCCAGAAGACCTCATGTTTATTCTTAAATATCCTGTGTTGCCTCTTGCAATTTGAAACTGTGATTCCTGGCACCAGAGTTAAATAAAAAGCTTCACAGATCCTTGTGTGTACCAGTGGCTGTCACCAAAATGATGTGATCAAAGCAGAAGCATAGCAAATCCACTTGCCTTTCATATCTTTCCAATGTACCTCACTTGAATCTCTTGCTTCAGGTGTTTAGGACTTGACTTGACATAGCTTCCTATTCAGAGCCATCTAACCTTGTCCCCCATGGCCAATCGTCCTCTGTGCACACAGAGCAATTGCACTACAGTAAAGGCTTCTCTTCATAGCTCCTTGCAATCACAGTTTGATTCACGCAGACGCAAGCCCATGTCAATAGCATCCCAAGCTACTTGAGAAATGAGGAGACATTTTGTAGTTTAAAACTGGTTACATCACATTTGGGTTTCAGTTGCAGCATGCAGCTTTGTAAGTGCTAATTAGAGACTGTTGGTGTTACTAGCAGCAGTAAATATCTGGATTTGGTGCTCTTGGAAGTGATCCTGATCCATATTGGCATTAATTAGAGTAATCCTGCTTCTCACAAAGTAGCTATTTGATGGAAGAGCAGGTTGGTGATTTGCATTCATAAAGTGGTCATTGATGGCAGAAACACTGATGCTGAAACCTGCAAAAAAAAAGTATGCTGCCCTCCCAGCTGAAAGGCTCTTCTTACAACCATTACACTGTGACGTAGTCAGAACAAGAACTAGCATTTCTGAAAAATGTGCTGGCTACTGGTCTTTCTGAGCATGGCTGATTATTCTGTCTAAATTGACCCAAATGAGAGATAAAAGGAAGAAGACCCACCTGAAAGATCACATATGCCTTCAAAATAGGTGGATCATGATAAGTAATGTAAGTCAGATTTTCCAAAGAGTTCAAGCCAGGTTTCCCAGCTGTCCATGCCCCTTCTACTAGTTATCCTTTGCTGTCCAAATGGATGGCTGACTCCCCACACACTGTACTCATACCTCTTCATTCTAGTGTTGTGCTGGGGAGATGTTTCTTTTCCAATTCATGACTCATGTTTTTGCACTGTAAAAGAAGGTAGCAACAAAAATGGCAACTTGGCACTAAAGATGAAGCCAGATGTATTGAACTATTTGGTACATGTCAGGTCCTGTTTTGACAGCTATGGCTGGATTTTTACTGTCCAATACAAAGTCTTTTTCTCTGTAATAATATGTAATACAGGAAACATAGGTATTGCTCTCTTAATTAAGATCACAGTACTTTATTTATAGCAGGCAGTGCTTCAGGATACTCCATGTGAATATTTGTTTTCTGTACTAAGCTAAATTTGAGACAGCCTCCCCGGAAGATTAAATCATATTTTTAAGGGACTGATTCAGAGGAAATGAGGAGGCAACATCTCACCAGCATACACAGCTCATTTC